TGAGATGTAGTGCACATATACTAAACCTCATTGTTCAAGAGGGTTTGGGGGTGGCTAGTGGTGCTTTGAAAAAAATTAGAGAGAGTATAAAATATGTAAGAGGATCAGAAGCTAGAAAGATTGCTTTTAAAGAATGTGTGCTTCAAGTGAGGGGTATTGATACTAAGGTGGGTTTGAGAATGGATGTGCCCACTAGATGGAATTCCACTTATGTTATGCTTGATAGTGCAATTAAATACAAACGTGCATTTGGTTGTTTGGCTATTCGAGATAGGAATTATGTTCATTGCCCATCAGATGATGAGTGGAATAGGGCTGCAAGAATGTGCGAGTTCTTGAAGCCTTTTTTTGTCATGACAAATTTGATATCAGGCTCCACTTATCCAACATCTAATCGGTACTTTATGCAAGTTTGGAAAATTGAAAAATTGTTGCGTGAATTTGTTATGTGTGAAGATCTAGTGATTAAAGAGATGGCTTCAAAAATGATGACTAAGTTTTCAAAGTATTGGCATGATTATTGTGAGATTCTTGCCATTGGTGCTATTCTTGACCCACGAATGAAGTTTGGAGCTATTCAGTTTGCTTATAGAAAAATTGAGCCTTCAACTTCTGAAGAGAAAATTAGTGCTTTAAGAAAGAAAATTTATGAACTGTTTGAAGAGTATGAAAAAGTAAAATCAAATGAGTCAAATGCTTCAACTTCTAATGTGTCTCTTCTTCCACCACAACCAATTTCATATACAGATGATGAGCAAGTACTTGATACCTTTGATGTAAGTTAATAATTTTTTTAAGTACTTTATTTAATTTCATTTTTATTTAGTAATTATCATTGAATAATGAATATTGAATTTATTTTTCTTTGTAATCTCTTAGGAATATGTTGATTATTTGAGCCAAAATGCTACTGCTAATGGAAAATCTGAATTGGATCTATATTTGGAGGAAGGAAATCTTGATCCAAAGTTTCATGAAAAGTTAGATGTGTTAGCTTATTGGAGGGATCGTCATGATCGTTATCCAAACCTCTCTCGGATGGCTTGTGATGTGCTGAGTATTCCAATCACTACAGTTGCTAGTGAATCTGCTTTTAGTCTTGGGTCTCGAGTGCTAACTAAGTATCGCTCTACCATTCTTCCTGAAAATGTAGAGTTACTCATTCTAACTCAAAATTGGTTACATGGTTTTGAAGAATTAGGTAATTTTTATAATGAAAATTT